GCCCCTCCCTCGCCCGCCCGTGTCCGGGCGCTTCCTCCCTGCCCGCCCGTGAGCGCGTTTCCCGCGCACAGGCCTGGAGTGAGGCCGCAGTGTGAACCCGGCCGCCCAGCTCAGAGCCTCGCGCCTGTGACCTTGGGCGATGAGATTGACCTTGAGCCTCCTGGTTCGCCCAGCTGGGAGCCGTTGCAGGGTGTCACTCTCCCGCCGCCCCCCTTCGTCCCCCCCCCCAGCGCCTCCTTTCCGGACGTCTTATCTCGTGTCTCCCGTTCCTCCCTCTCAGCCGCACCTCTCCCTTCCACATCTCTGCTGCGAGCACTTATCGCGCCTGCCAGGGCTGCAGAGCTCATAAGCCGCCTCCTCAGAGGCCTCCTCCTCAGAGGCCGCCGCGAGCTCTGTCAGAGGCGGCGACTGGCATTGAAGTTGGCCTGGAGGGCCCTTGGCAGCCTCTCATTCCGAGATTTGCGCTTGCTCCAGAACATTCTGCCCTCCGCCCTGCCCCCACCCTCACCGCAGGCTAAGGCCGCCTGCAGACTCCGGGCGGGGGCCTTGGGCTCTGCACCCCGGCCCTGGGCGCCGCTCAGCTTCGGCGGGCGCCGGACCTCTCAGGCCCCGTGGGGAGGGGGGAGTTGGCGGGAAGGGCCCGGCCATCGGGCTGGGCTCTCCGTCCCCCTCACACTCTCAGTCCACCTGAGCTTTAACATCTAAGCCAAGAATGTTGAGGCAGAGTGCCCAGGACCCCGACACCACCCTGCACCTTGGGAGGCCTGTGCTGAGGCACTTTGATGTCGCAGGCCCCCCCTTTTCTTGGGGGAGATCTTGGAGGGTCAGTGAATCGCTGCTTCATTGCGCGCTCGCGACCCCAGAGGCGACCGCTGCCCTCCCCGCCCAGCGCTTCTGCCTGGCCTGGGCCTCGCTGCCCGCCTGCGCACACAGGGCGAGTGGCCCCAGCAGACCGCGGCCGTCCACGGCGCTCCTCACCCCTAGGTGGTTCTCACGTGTGCCGCTCTGTCTCTTCTAGATTTTCTTTTTCTGCTTCAATTTTTTGAAGCATATCATCTCCGAGGAGTTCTCTGCTCTGAAGACTCAGAGGTAAGGGAGACCCGCCGCCCGCTCTGGGCCGCGGCCCTCCGGGGAGGGCGGGCCGTGGGCCGGGCTCCCCTGCTCCCTAGGCCGCAGGCGCCTTGAGCACCCCGCGCCCCCAGGCAGGGTGGGGCCTCTGGCCAGGCGAGTGGGCCAAGATGCCCTGCAGCAGGCGGGCGGGGCTGGGTGGCGCCTGCAGTCTTCCTGACGGGAAGACCTGGGCAGTGAGTGGCCTCAGCGACAGCAGAGCGGTGGCCACCGGAACAGCAGGCCCACACCCCCGGGCGGCTGGTCCCGCGCTGACTTCCTGACCGCGCTCGCGGCCCGCGGCCCACCGGGCGGTGCCTGCCTCGGGCCTCTGCTAGGACCCGCTGTGCGCCGGTCTCTGGCCTCCTGAGCCGAAGCTCCCGGTGTGCTGGGCTGGACTTGAAGGGCCAAGCTGACGGGGAGGAGGCCGGCCGCAGGCCGCAGCACGCCGCCGTGTCCTGAAGCGGCGGTGGGGCCCTGAGCGGGTCTGGCATCCGCTGACACTGGGCAGGCTCTGTCTGCAGAGCCACTTCTGGGTGGACAGAGGGCCCCACCCTTTCCGAGCCTCACTGTCTGGGCTCTGCTTGCAGGAGGAAGAGTTTGCCGACCCGGGACGGCTTCACCCTGGAGGATCTCTGCATGCTGAGTGAGTCCCGCCTCAGCAGACTTCCCTTACTCTGTGCATCTTTCTGAGTTTAAAGGGGACGACTTGTTCCAGAAGGTTCTCTTTCTAGCTCTGTGGTGGGGAAGAGAGAGGGGGTCAGCAGTGAAGGAAAACGCTGTATGACCGATGATGCCGTTTCTTTAGGACGAAAAGACCGTGGCAGCACCACCAGCCTGGGCAGTGACTTCTCGCTGGTCATGGAGAGCTCCCCAGGGGCCGCCGGGAGCTTCACCTACGAGACCGTGGAGCTGGTGCCTGCAGGAGCTCAGACCCAGGCAGCCTGGTGAGGGCCAGCCTGGAGCCCGGCGGGCTCACAGCGGTGAGCCGGGGCCCCCAGCTCCAGGGCGCCTCGGGAGCAAAGCCCGCCCCTGGAGCGGGCCGGGAGCCCCTGGG